TACCATCATGCACTTTTACAAAAGCCAACTTCTTAATTAGCAAAGAGAAATCCAACAAGATTCAGAACAGAATGTTCCTGCTGTCGGGTCAAGCCATTCTCTCCCATGTGCTTGAACGTGAATTCAGAACCAGGGCAGGGAGTGTGAAACCTCGAATGGGGCCCCACTGCCCAGGGGACAAGTGCTCCAGGCCAGAGGCCACGGAACCCTCCCCCTGACCGGCATCCGGAGCATCAACGCTCACCTCTACCTTCCCTGATCTGTGCTCCAAATGGAGGCATGCAGGTCAGGTACGAAACCTTCCTCCACACTGTACGATGCAATGTATTAAATTCTGTTTACTGAATTTTAAGCACATTCGGGCCCTGCCCCTGATATCACACCCAGGTTGCCCCACTTACAAGTTCTGCGATCCCATAGCTTCATAAACGAGTAAACAGATCATTTCCCAGCTTGTTTCCTTACAGGGCTAATCACACTAATCAAGTGTAGGTGTTTCAAAAAGCGAGCATTTTGAGGGCCAATCTGTTTCTCGGCTTTCCTGTGGGCACTTCACTGTTCTCACAATGTACTGCTTTCTGTTCCTTAGGGAACACAGAGGGCATACAGCCAAACATCCGGGGAGAGAAGACCAGGGTAGGACAACGTTCTCCTGTGCCTTTCTTCCCTTCCTTCCTTGTAAGTCATCCACACTAATTAGGAATGCTTCCTCAACAAGATTTGGAATATACAGAAAAGCAGAAAAGTTCCCCTTAACCCCATTCGCAGCTATAAACGAATATGGTGACAGATTTCTAGCCTTTTTTCTACACTGAGACCTCCAAACTGAGATCATCCAGTATGGTTTTTGTCTTCTCCTTTCCCATATTTTATATATCGGATCTAACAATTATCATTATGCGATTATTTCATATATTTCATGTCACACACAATGCGTATTTAATGATTTTCTGACAACATGCTACGCAGCGGTCACACAGAATTCTGTGACCGGACCCACGGGGTGGCTCCTCTAACTTCTAGATACTAGGTCACGTCCAATTTCTCGCTATCATAAATCGTGCCGCGACACACACTCCTCTATGTTGATGGTTGTGAGAGCTGCTATTATTTCTGTAGAACAAGTTTCTAGAAATACGGTGACTAGGTCGCAAAAAATAAACACCTGTAGGGTTTTGGATCCATGTTCCTAAACCATCTTTTAAAAAGCCTACAGCAGTATCTCCTGCCACCCAGGGTGGATGAGGGACCCTGCTCACTTTTGTTTTCTCTTTTGTTCCAGATGCCGATCCCATTCCAAGTCCAGCACGTCATTCACATCTTGGACGGCAAATTTCACATACTGATGGAGGCGCCGGATCTCCTACAAGGAAAAAAAAAAAAAAATGAGAAAGCAAATGACTCTGTTTTCCAGGAGCCTGGAGGGAGGTGCACCAAAACAATCAAAATAATTTTGCAAGGTGTTTCCACTAAGAACCAGAAGGAATAAAGAAAATACAACAGGCTTTAATCGAATCATTCGAATGGTGTGATTAAAACGAACAACGGAACTCAACCTTTTAACCGTGACAGAGAGGCGGCACAAAGCAACGGGAAAGAGATCGGGCGTGCCGGTCTAGGGCTCCAGGGAAAACGCTGTGGCTCATTCTCTCATTTGTCAGCTCCTACAGAGTAACTCAACATGCTCCGGGAATTTTCCACTGCACGCTGCTGCTCAGACAGCGCACCCGTGTAGGTTTTGCTCTCCCGCCCGTGAAATTAACTGTAACACAGACAAAACTATCCTACAAGAGCGCCGCAGGTAATTCTGAACCTGTCTGTTCACCGCACAGGACCCATAAGTCTTCCTACCGGTGGAGAAAAACTCCCCTCTTCTCAAAGGGGAGTATCAGCAATAGAAACGGAATTGACCATCACTAAACTTCACATCTATTCATCTTAGGCCTGCAGTAGTTTTCTTTAAGTTTCAATGCAGAGTTAACCTTCATGGCTATACAACCACATTCTTGAAAATAAAAAGTAAAATGAAGATAAAGCATTCCCTTAAGCACATACACAAAGGCAGGCAACGTGCGATACACCGGGAGTCATCTTTACATCGGTACAAAGTTCGTACCGTGTTTCATTTTAAAAATTACTCTGGGGTAAGGGTATATGCCCCAACTGAAAGAGAGCAAATGTCATTTAAAAAGAGCCAGGCTGGGGCGCCTGGGTGGCTCAGTCGGTTAAGCGGCCGACTTCGGCTCAGGTCATGATCTCGCGGTGTGTGGGTTCGAGCCCCGCGTCGGGCTCTGTGCTGACAGCTCAGAGGCTGGAGCCTGCTTCGGATTCTGTGTCTCCCTCTCTCTGACCCTCCCCCGTTCATGCTCTGTCTCTGTCTCAAAAAAATAAATAAATGTTAAAAAAAAAAAAAATTAAAAAAAAAATAAAAAGAGCCAGGCTGATCCCAGGGAGAAGTAGCAGTGACCCGAGCAACAAATGTAAGTTGCAACTCCCTGCACGATGGTGGCAGGGAGGCCTTCTTCTCTGAGCACAAGGGTGACTGTGCCTCTGTGAGCTCACTAGCATTGTTTCTTCCAAGTGCCCTCCCACTCTGTCTACCAGAAAAGCGAGCTTCTCTTTCAAGGCCTGTCATAGATACTTCGTTTCTGTGGCTTAGCGGCTCCCTCATCTGCAATGCCATAGCAACACGTCCCACGTCATATTTATACGTTCCCTTTTCCACTGCCACGCACCCAGCCACCGGGACGGCACGGCACAGCACAGCGGTGAAGAGCGCAGGCTCTGAGCCACACTCAGGGTCCAGCATTTATTCGCGGGGACACTCGGGCAGTTCCAGTATCTGTTTCCTTCTCCCCTTCCGTACACGGCATATACTGGATAAGTGCTATTATTATCTGCTTAGTACTGTGAAAAGAGAAAAGCGTCTCCTTTTGAATGTCCCCCCAGAGCTGCGTGCTTTTCTTCCAGTTTGGACACAGGGCAAGAGGTGAAAACGCACGTGACAAGCAAGCGTATCTGGACGCAACACGGAGGGGGTAATCTGAGGAGGGGCAGGCAGGGAGTCTGCTTTCTCTGAGACGGTAAACATCCACGGTCCTCCAGTAATACCACAAGGACTGAGGGACACCGCAGGGGTCCTTCGGCCTCTCCAGGACAGGACCATTTCGCTCATTTCCTACTATAGTCAGTTTACCAGGCGTGGGACAAAAATGGCAGACAGTAGAGTCCACAGCCTCCAACCCTCTGAGGCAGGAGGGGATTCAGCCCGGTCACAGACCTCACATCCTAGGTGAGGAAGACCGGAGCGGCCACCCGTGCACCCTTCCCTACCGGGACCCTGGGCAAATGCGAGGAGGCAGGAGGTGACCCCGCTAAGGCTGGAGACACAACAATTTTCAGTAAATTGGAAGATGAAAACAAAAACCAGATTTCGCTGCAACAGAGAGTAAGAATAATTATGAACGGATGAGAGAAGTAACCTTGCTGAAGTCCGGTGTACGGGAAAGGGCCCCAGCAAGTGGAGCTTTCCATCAGGTTCCACTCGAAGTAACAACATCACCATGGGCAAACTCAGCCCAGGGGACCCAACTTCCTTATCTGCATACTGGGATCAACAACGCTCACCTTGCAGAGCAGCGGGTTTTGAAGTCCAGAAATAATGTGCAAAAAACACCCAGCAGAGTATTAGCACTCAATGAGGAGTTGCTACATGAACGCTTATTCGTTATCTGATCTATAAATACATTTTCCCCAACGGTACGCTTTCCCCCAAGCATAAAGTTTAATAAAGAATTCTGGGGGCGCCTGGGTGGCACAGTCGGTTAAGCGTCCGACTTCAACCAGGTCACGATCTCGCGGTCCGTGAGTTCGAGCCCCGC